TTTTTCAGTTTTTCCTGGTTGCTTGGCGTCGTCCATCATATGCTGTTCAGCGCCCACCTTCTAATCGCAAGTCGCCTGAACGCCTTTAGCTGCTTAGAGGTCAGAAGCATGGGTCCGTATCCCGAGTCTTTAGACTCCACAGGAGACATTGTTGTCGCGTCCAGGGGGAAGACGCTGCTTTGTTCCAAAGGCAAGCAAATTACACGTCGCTTCTTATGAAATCTTCCCCGCGTAAACTAGCCAGCGACGAAGGACATTTCGCTTGAGGCTTTCTTACGTTGCGAGATACCTTGTGCTACACCAGGCACGGAGAACCGGAGGCAATCTTTGCCAAAGAATGGTGATTCTGAACTTGAAACAACTTGAAAGGTTCAGTAAGATAAGCTTCCCGTATCCTAGAATTCTGTCTTACCTGGGTGGAGAGACCTGTTATAAGGAACGCCGGCCGGGTAGAGATCTGAGAACACGATCATGCTTACTGACGATAGTCATGGTACGCTCAGGCTGAGCTGGATCGAGTTTGTTTTCGACAAACTCAAAGTGTTAGCTGGAAAATACAGGCGTCAAGAAAAACGCCTCATCGGTGTTAGGTACAGCGTCGTGTGAGCCGGGGCGACTTCCACTAAAACAGTCAAGAATGCCCTTGAACAGATAAATATACGTGCAAAATACATCAGCGACAAATACAGTAAAAACATCAATACAAACTAGTCAGATGGAGGCGCAGTCCCAAAAGTATGTCACGATCGTAGGGTGGGTTTGAGAGACTCGGCTGTTTGGACAGTCCATGACTCGATCTCTTCGTGCGGTAGTTTATTCCATTCCTCGTATACCTAGATTGGCTGGTGAGTATTGGGATGAAAGCCAGTGGATCTTTGGTACTAACCGTATCAAGTTTACCAAGAAGCTCAAGAACATGTTCGTTGACATTGTCAGTCGTCGTAACTTTCCCCCGTAAATCTGATTGTAGAAGTCGATTCTCTTCTTCAACCTATCCCCGCGTTAATCGAGAGGAGAATCCACGGCGAGAAGAGTTACCTGAGCTATCAGTTCCTTCAATCTTGCGGCTTCAGAGTTCAGAACAGGTACAGTTCTCGCGCTAACTGCAACTCTTGGGTCAAGGTTGTCTTGCCAGATGTCTTTCCCTTGTCCCCCTTTAGATTTTCTATCCTTGGCATCGTTGACGACTTTATGTAATATGTCGATATTCTCCTGTACGCTATAGTCCTTGAACAACTTGTCCAGGTCGCGCTGAGATAATCTTTCACTGCCTCCGCTAGCCGCGAACTGATGGAATCTACTCACAAAGTTTTGAGCCTCAATATAATCAGATATGCTGTTAAAGGTCGCTGAGGAACCATTCTTGTCTTCTTCGACGTACAGGGGAAAACATTCCGCAAAATCTTCGAAGCTAATGCCAGAATTATCATCGGGGACTAGGATAGTGAAATGGGGGTATACACACGTCCACTTATGTGCCGAGCGCTGTATTGCGAGTTGCAATGCTGAATGGAAATGAGTCCATCGACGACTCCCGGACTGACTGCTGAACATGTCGACGCGACTGGGAGAGTAAGTATGAACGCGACGCGTGACTGAGCACTGAACCTGTGTGTGTGACGCGTGACCTGCCCCGAGTCCGGGGAAAGGATGATCACTTGGCCGCCGCTGCCATGGACTGACGGTTGTCTTTAAGCTTGTCTTGAGCGCAGACCTCGATTCTCTTTTCCACATGGATACCACAGCTCGCGATGAGGAAGCTGGTCTACCTGGAAATACGCGAGCCCAGCGACCCCGCAGCTCGGTGCCCTCATTCCTCTTCATAAGCTTTATGCTTTTCATGCTCACAAGTCATAACGGCGACGAGTTCCTAGCACGACACCAATATCAAGATGCACTACAATCTTTGACGTACCAATTGTCAAATTATACGGCCTGGTTGAATGGGACTGATTCCAATTTTACGGTGGTCAGTTTCGTACTATACGCACCCTTAATCCATCTTATTCAATGACTCCTTAGCCAGTGCAAGATCCAACCTTGTCTCCGTTGCTGGACGCTTTTCAGCTCCAAGGTTCAATATTAGACCCTGTTCACCACTCATACTACTCCAATATTACGGGATTCATCCACGGAAATGCAAAGCTCAGCAACATCACCCTTCCTACACTTACGCACAACGACACAATACACTGGAGACAACAAGCAGAGCAATATATGATCGGCGTCAACACGACAACTCTACCGGAGAGGTTAGGGTCTTGGAATTGGACGGCATCGACGAAGGTTGCCTTGAGCGTAGTCGAAAAGAAACCACTGGGTGGGACAGAGCAGCATATGCACCCCAGCAGTCCAATTACTCTCGTTCATGTGCGCTTCATTTCCAACTATCATGGCTGGGGGTTATTTAGGTCTTGTCGTCTGACAGGGTAGGATCGAGTTAACTGACCCAACTAGGTCCGAGAACTTGCGGCTGGAATTCCAAGGAGTTCACTTCGTTTCCAATGGTTCAATATATGGTTTCGCAGAACCACCTGGGTGAATACAACCCTATGGATTAAGGCGTTTAACTTATATATATGACTACTACCTTTCAGTCGGCATATCGACATACGGCTCCTGCCTTCGTTGGTTCCGAAAGGCGCCAAGAATGAAACCGCTCGTATCATCGCACCCGAACTTCAGGCCAAGATTGATAAATTGAAAGACATGATAGATGCTGGTATCGTTGACACGGAAGCATCTGCAAATGGTATGCCTCGGAACGTCATCAGAGAGGCACGACTAAGGATTTATCCACATAGACGAAGCTCCAAAAACATCCTGTCCTTTTACCTTCCATGCGCAAATAAACCCAGTCTTCGTTCCCGAATATCTTATGCAAGAATTAGAGGATGAACTGCAAAACCCCACTGGCATATGGACTGTGCCTCCGCCGAAGTTGTCCATTTCGGCTGTCTTGCTTAGCAAGGAATGCGGAATCCTATATGAGATCACTGATACCGAGGGTCTCAGGTATGTTATGAAAGTTTTCCCTGATGGTGGTCATGCTCATATTATCACACAAGATCACGTACTTTCTTCCGAAAGGTTACAACGTGTACGTTTGCAGGGCATTCCATCTCGACTAATTCGTCGAGTCTACTGACCCGGGTACAGATGCTGGCTTGACAGGAATCTCGTATCTAATTCTTTTGATCTTGTTCTCTCGACAAACGGAAAGAAGTCGCACACCATCGGGAATATCCCGCGTTTCCCGTTGGACATTCCTCGCACAAGCTACGATGGATTCTGTGTCCTTCGCCGGACACATAACCTTTGCTATCCTTGCAGAAGGCAGACCGTCACTGTCGTTGATCGCCCCAGCATTCCTAGCATGTATGGTGTTTGTTCACGAAGCTGTAGGTCATCGCTCGCTTTCCCCGCTCACTCGGCCTAAACATTGGTTCAGCAATTTTCGGCCCTTATCCATCAAATCCAAGGACCAGAGAGCTATACGCCGCCCGTTCCTACCCCAGTGGCAATACCGACTGTCTCCCCCACGCAACAGCCTCTTCTACCAACTACTACCCCTACGACTATCACAACGCCTCCTCCACAACTGCCGACAGCGGTAATAGCTCAGCAATCACCGACTACCATCCTTCAAGCTGCAAACAACAATTCAACGCCATCATTCTTCCAATTCTTCATTCAACATATACGGACTGACCCTCAAGCAAGGCTATGTAGGCATACGTCCACCATCTTGACTTCAATGTACTCAATGGATCTTAGGGTTCACATTGTTCATTTTTTTGACCTTCATCGTCCGTGTTATCTTGTCGCCTACACTTTCTATGCTTTTCGTTGTAGTGACGTACTCAAGTATTTGGCTCCCCCAAATCGTGAGGTCAGTTCGCCGCGGACGTACTAGTGGCCTGTCCAAGGAATACATCATTGGAACTACGGCCTGTCGTTTATTCAGCGCATTTTGTGAGTGTCTTCTTGAGATATAGATTCAATCTGACTGATGCTGTCGTAGATTTCCTGGCCTGTCCTAAAAATGTACTTGAAGTAGAACCCAGATGTGCGCAAGTCTTCTTGAGGTCGCCGAAGTTATGTCACTCACTTTCTTGCAGCTTGGGTTTACTTGCTTGGGCTGTTTGTTGTCATGCAAGCCATTCTCGTGATATTGCAGGATACCTTAGGACCTACTTTCTTCCTTCCAGCCCGAGTGAGCATGCTGTCGCATCACGTCAACATCTAACCTAACTTTTCGCCCACTAGTACGCTCATGTGAAATCTTACGACTACCATCCACCAATGCCGCTACCCGACTCCGAATCACCTGAACAGTCCCTTGGAGATTGCGCCATCTGCATGGACGCCATCACCGTTGACCCTTCGTTGCGCCGACGATCAAAGTCACTTGACAAGAAAGAAGATTGGGATGACAAAGTGTCTTCCGTACCTGGCTTTAAGAAAGGAAAGAGCGTTTTCAATGCCATGCAAATGGGCGTCGGAGCCACCACTGCGCGTAAAAATTATAGCCTTGCGCCTTGCTCTCACTTATTCGTAAGTTTTCTTCGTCATGGAGTGAGATAGTCTGACTGCTGATGTGCTGTTGTTTTTACGAAGCACACCGACTGCTTGGAAAAGGTTCGTTCGCTTCTATTTTGCGTCCCTGATATGAATACTGACCATTGCCTCTATCTCTCTCCTAGTGGCTCGCTATCAAGGTTCTTTGTTTCTTGGACGTATAAATCAAACCCCTCTGACAAATGTTATCATAGAACATTTGCCCTCAATGTCGTCGACCGCTGCCACCCCTCTGACGACTCTCCATTATATCCAGGATAATTCTGATATTACTGTATTATTTTCTCCGATATTGTATCTTAAAATGGAGTAATTTGTAGCCTCATCCCTTGGTCTCAGAGAAGTTGGTAATAGGTCGTGTAAAACACCGTTACGTTTCTTGCGTCTGGATAGATTACCACGATTGAAAGTAGAACATGTCTCTGTTAGTATATCGGTTAGTACACGCGCCTGTCATATACACATATGGTCGGACGCGCGAAAGCTGGGTTCGACTCCCAGACAGAGAGTAATATTTTTCCTTCGTACTCGTCATTATTTGGTCCTATTTGCTGCGGCCCTGTGAGTGACCTCCGGTAACAGCTCTTTAAACTAAAACGGCAAGTTGATGTAGGGCTAGCTTGACCAGAATCCTAAACGTCCGTCCCTCTCATTCAACGCCCTAAAGGTTACTAACATCTCACTCAACACAGATGCATCCTACATCACAGCGCTTGGTGCGCGTTATTCCCCGAACCCTGCTCAAAGTCAGCGAGCAGAAAATTTATACTCGACCTATCCCGCAATCACAGGATAGGCTTCGACCGACCCTCATTGATGTATTGATCAAGCAACAACAAGCTGCTGGAGAGGCGTGGCCACAAAATCTTCGACTCGAGCGCCAGTTGAAGAAGGAGGCTTACAGGAAGGTGCGGCCAGAAGTGAGGTCGGCGTTGAAGAGTCTGACCAAGGAGAGATGACGACCTTGCATGAGGGACTTTTCATACGGGAATTACGGTTAGGGAGGGCACGGCACGGTCACATAGACGACTACAGGGACGCACAGCGCATACTTTCCGGATTCGCTCGCGAATTTCTTTTGCCCATTACCGCGGTGTCAGTACGTCGTATCATCATCCAATTTGATATGTTGTGGCTGCTTTCCTTCCTTGTTGCAAGTGATACAGTTCCTCAACGCTTCTATGTCAATAGCGGGACTATGCATTGTCTGCGAGATAATCGTTTATTTTGAGTAACAATGATCGAACCGAGACGGGTGTTATTCTTAGACAACGTGCAAAGAATCAAACCTGGAACATCTGTACATGTTGCTCACTCCTCCTTTTCTCCACTCACTCCATCACATTGACCAAAGTCCTGTCAATACCTCGCAGCGAACATGACAAGCCTCAACAAAGTCAATGTCGACAAACCAATCGAGAAAATTCACCCAGGAAATCTACCAGGAGCTGGCCGCGATGATATCGCGAATGCACTCAAAACATTAGTCGACCACTCCTCGACTAATTCCAATGTGCACCACCTCATTCATGCACCGATGCAGACCATTGAGAAGTTGCCCTGGGTACACAGTCTGATCCCAGGCATAGAGAAATTGGCGGTAGAGTATCATACCGGAAATTTCGTGGCTATGAGAGGGGAGAGTGAGCCATTCTTCGAGTCCATGCCTCTGTATGCCAGGTCAGTCAGGTTTTGGCGGTCCTGAGTCCTTGGTGACGTCATTACTGACCATGGCATTTATCTGGATGCAGATTGGGAATGCATCTGTTGTTTTACGGTAAGGAACAAGCGAGAGTACTTGGGACACAGAGAGTAGAAGAGCTTCTAGAAGAACAGTCCGTTAAGGCAAGTCTGGAAACACTGAATGTTGTCACGACTCATTATCTCCCGACAATCACAGCAAGGTGCCATATATGACAGCCCACAGTCGGCAGCGGCGATACCTTCCTTTGTGCAGACATACTCTATTCACACGGACGAGCTTCTCGAGCCGGATTTGTCCAAGTACAAAACTTTCAACGAATTCTTTTCCAGGTGTGAAATTTCGCAACACGCATTTCTTTGACCGCCCCATTGAGGTCTTTATCGTAGAAAGGTCCGGCCAGACGCGCGTCCAGTACAGGGCGATGAACTCGTCGTATGCAGTGCTGCTGATTGTAGATTGACAGTCTACGAATCTTTCAATGCAGCCAAAACCTTCTGGTACCTATCTTTTTCCGTCAGATCCTTCTGCATCTCTTTCGCTGACCATGCTTTCTGTTTTGTTTTCTTGTGCACAGGGTGAAAGGGAAAAACTTTAACATCCCCAGTCTACTTAACGTCCAAGAATCGTCTCCCACAGTTGATGCATTCCAGGATTCAAGCTTGGCCATTTTCCGTCTTGCCCCGGCAGATTACCATCGTTTCCACAGCCCCATCGATTGTGAAATAGGTGATATAGAGAATATTCCGGGGCATCTTTACACAGGTTTGTGTCCCGCTGACAATGCGCGTTCTAGACGTACTGATAAGTTGTTATTTAATCTTTAATAGTCAACCCACAGGCAGTCAACGAACCAGGCTTCGATGTGTTGACCGCGAATACTCGTTCTGTTCTTTATCTGAAACATGTACCGACTGGCCTGCCAGTTGCTTTTGTTGCCATCGGGGCTCTCCTTGTCGGGAGTATCAATTGGACTGGAGGTAAGGAGAAGGGATCTAAACTGAACAGAGGAGACGAGCTAGGGTAGGGACATTGGCACTCTTGAGATAGAGGAATCGCTGACCCGGTCATTTAATGCAGATATTTTGCCTATGGTGGAAGTACGATCGTTGTTGTTTTCCCGAAAGAGTTAATCAAGTGAGGAATAGTATCTTGTATTCGGCATATCTAAGGAATGCTCATTTTCTTCGTAGATTCGATGACGACCTCGTCCAGAACTCGCAGAAGCCGATTGAGACGCTTGTAAAGGTGTGTCTTCAACCAACCGCATGATTCCATCTGCTTATGTCCGGGTTATCATGCAAAGGTTGGATACTCTATTGGAAAAACCCCGCTCAAGTTGTAATCGGAGAGTGGTTTAGAAGGAGGTTAACGTGTGCGTGTGGACATCGAGACCGAAAGATAGATATGAATACATCCACGAGACCTTTCCACAAATACATCCTCGATATAAATACCAGCAATACATCCCTTTTCATGTTTAAGCATTAACGTCTGGGTGCTGCCTTCTCCACTGCGCCAGCATTTCTACACTAATCATTCTGAGACCCCACCGGTCAGCGAACGCGCGGCAGTCATCCCGTCTCGCCATTGTTCCTTGTGCGTCGTCATTCACGAGCTCGCACAGAACACCCGCGGGGGGTTGGCCAGTGAGAAGACAAAGATCCACCCCGCTCTCGGTGTGACCTTTCCGCGTTAATACGCCACCTTCGCGGGCACGCAAGGGTACCATGTGTCCAGGACGAGTGAAGTCGCTGGGTTTTGAGGAGGGGGAAGCGAGAGCGCGAACGGTTAAGCTGCGGTCATGTGCGGAGATTCCGGTGGTTATGCCTGGATGGGGAAAGAGATTAGATGCGAGGAGCGGTTAGGGACAGCACCGGGGGGCAAGGGTGTTGCAAACTCACCATGCTTGTAGTCCACTGTAACTGTATATGCCGTCTTGTGTCGTTCTTGATTATCCGGGACCATCATCGGGATCCCGAGAATTTCTAGCCGGTCTGAAGGAAGGGCTACGCATATGTATCCGCTAGAAATGTAAGCATCACATGTAAGCGGTTACTATATTGATTGAGACCGAGGACAGATATGAAGAAGGGAATAGCGGGGGCGTTGAAGGGCTGGTGGGAGAAACGAAGGTAGTGCGGCGGGACTTACTCACCTGGTGTGTTTGATCATCCATGCCATCTTTTCGGTGGTGCATTGGCTGCCAGAGATAATGAGGTCGCCCTCGTTCTCCCTGTTCTCGTCGTCCATCACAACAAGGAACTCTCCTGCGGAGAAAGATTCCAAAGCATCCTCCATCGAGTCGAACGCGAATGTTGTGCGTTTGGGTGCTCCGGCCATCTCCTTGGGCCGCCATGAGGAAGTCGATGTCGGTGGAGCGGGTTTGTGCACACCGTTGGTGGCAATGGTCGAGTGCGACATTGAGATAGCTACTGGTGCCATTGGTAAGAAAGTATGAGAAGATGCGGTACTCACAAATTTCTGCGGTGGGAGCTTTATAATATCACGGCGTATGATCAAGCATGAATACCGTGACACGGAAGCGGGCATGTTATAAGCAGAGACCTACATACATGACACAAACTGCCTCTGCTCTCACTGCACGGCTCACTCGTATAACAATATCTATTCACGGTGCACTTGGATAGTATAGTGATAGTAATACTATTTTATGCTTCCACCCTTTTGTCATTGCTCATGACGGGAAGCAAAGGACGGGCCGGGAGCAACATGCGCGACTGGATTGGCCCGGCTCAATGCGGAGAGAGCCGGCTGCACGCCAACATTTTTCTACGAGTAAATCCGCTGGCAGAACTCTGCAACACTCATCCTCCCTCTCCTCTTCCTCCATCCTCGGGACAGGCTTCCACCCTCAGCCCCCCTCATAGACTTTCTAGACCCGTCCTTTGACGCTTAATTTCTTTCTCAACATGTCCGCACTCAAGTGGGATGCCAGGTAATTCTTTTCCATGATATGCAGGGCAAGATTTTGAGTACTAGCGCGTTACTCATCGTTTTTTCTGCTCAGGCATATCGGTCCTGTGCCGCACGACCTCTCGTACTACTCCAAGTGCATGCTTGGTGGTGTACTCGCCTGTGGTATCACCCACGCAGGTATCACCCCTCTGGATGTTGCTAAATGTAACATGCAGGTAAAGAAACTTCAATCAGCTCACCTTCTCTGCTTACTTACCGGAACTCCAGGTGAACCCCGCCAAATACAAGAGTCTCGGCGCTGGCCTCAAGATGCTCGTGGCAGAGGAGGGTGCCAACGGTATCTGGAAAGGCTTCGGACCCACCTTTGTCGGCTACTCCCTCCAGGGAATGTTCAAATACGGTCTCTATGAAGTCTTCAAGGATTATTACATGAACCTCGCCGGTGAGGAGCTGTCTGACAAATACAAACCCGCTATTTGGCTCGCCGGTTCCGCCTCCGCTGAGGTCTTCGCTGACATCGCGCTGTGCCCCTTCGAAATGGCAAAGGTCAAGATCCAGACAAGTCCCACCGGTACCTTCCCCACCGCTTTCGGTGCTGCGATCAGAGAGATGCAGCGCACCAAGCTGGAGACCCGCTTCCCCTTCGGTTCACTCGTCCCTCTATGGTCCCGTCAGGTAAATACACCTCCGCCAACTGATAAGCCAAATGAGATTAATAACGTGTCATTATTAGATCCCATACACCATGGCCAAGTTCTTCTTCTTCGAAAAGATCGTCCAGCTCTTCTACACTAAGGTCTTCACCGAACCCAAAGACTCGTACGGCAAGGGAACTCAACTCGGTGTTACCTTCGCCTCCGGTTACCT